TGCTGACGTTTTTAACTTTACGGCCTTAACTTTACTAATCTTTCATATCTTTATGCCAGCCTTTAACAACATATAATATTTTTATCTATTAACTTTAAAATTAATAAATACAAAAGTAAAAAATAGAAGTGGTTTATACTTGATCTCATCACTATAAAGAGTTGAAGAGGAATCAAATTCAAAACGTTGAAACATTTGCAGTTAATTTTGTCGATAAATATATTTTAATTGTTTGCGAATTACATTTCATCTCCTTGTGATATACATATTATTTGCTCATTAATAATCTTGAGCTCTTAGAATTTACTTATATTTAAAAAATGAAAGATTGATTTTTTTATTTCTATGGAGCAGTAAGTTGTTCCATTGTGGCGTTCCCGACACGCCGACTGTACTTAAGCTAAATAATCTTAAAACAGAAAAACGTGAATGTTTGTAGACAGTCGAGTTGTGCATTTTTGTTCTCCTTGGATCGGGCAAATTTTGCTGCGTGCGTCAGATGCCGATGCTAGGAAACTTGCATAAACGCATTCGGGACGATAGACCACGCCGATGAATCACCTGCGTCGTCGTCGTCGTCATCGCCTCTTGGAATCTTTCCGGATGTATAAGATGAAAGGAAGACTCGAGGAACAAGACGTAAGAACGAAAGAGTAGGACGTCGCATTTTTTAATCGTTATGAACGCGATATTGCGACACGTTACGATTGGCCAACGAAATACGAGCAACTGCCGATATCTGCATCATCTACCGACACATAATACATATATACATATGTTACTGCAGCATTCTTTCGCGTTTTCCTTGTTCGTGTGGCATGACCTATATATACACGCGCGTGCAGTTTGCCGAACGCGAACTAAAGTGTGACGAATGTGTATACACGAGGCCATAAGTGCTTTAACGCGTAAAGTTGCACGTATTATATATAGTACATATAGAAGCATTCAACACGCGTACTTCTCGTGTGAATGTCGCGCATCATGTGTGTCGGTTATTCAAAATATTATTTTGTCGCGTTATTGCTGTATCTATATATTACTATTTTATTGCTACATTTAACTCTTCTCGTCGGCTGTTTGAAATTTTGCATTTTATATAAAAATCTGACAAAAACTTTTGCACATATCTCCGAAAGTTTTCGACGAGATTTTGCTATTGTAGAAGTCAAATTGTATTTTATTAATTTTTTTACCGATTTCATTAATTTATCCATTAGAATTTGCGATCAAAATATCGACTCTTTCAAATCCAGCTTGGCCAAGTGTTAACTATTATAGATATTGTAATTATATTATAATTATAAAAATTAATTATCATATTATTATATTTTTCTATTCTTGTTTTATAGCATCGTTATATTTTATTTGTCAAATTACGAAAAGTTAGCTATTGCTTCGAAACAGTATTCTCAAATAACCATGCAATAATCAACGACGAGCGAATAATTAGGCAAGGAGCACGCGCTCTAAATATCTTCCGATACGCGTACGATTCATGGTTTAAGCCATTTGCGATCCGCATGCTGTGTACGGAGCCCGAGGCGTTCAAGGAGTCCACTTCATTGACGTGACGAGAACGGAGAAGATTTATCTTCTCTATGGAACACACCGAAATTCCTGCCCCGAATTCCGTTTAAACTCTGTTACATTTCAGGCCATTTTTCATCCACATTGCGTACTCGAGCTCTGCAGCTCGCGTTTGATTTACCACACTGTGTTTGTGTATCGATGCGTACGCCGAAATGTGCCCGAGGCACTGTGTATTCTTGTTTATGCTGTTACTCTCGACGAAAGCGAGAGAAAAGGAAAAAAACACGTGCGTAACTGTAACGAGCGTAATGCGATCCATCTATCAATCCTACCTTGATTTTCAACTCGTCCTGCCTACACAATACAAAGTCGAAAATCGGGTCACAAGACGTCTTGTGAGACATCTGAAAGACGTCTTAGGGCGGTATTCATAGCCAGTTCTTATTTCAAGGCTGTCTTAAATAATGTTTTAAGATGCTAATACAGCTCTCTGAGTGGCTTTGACATTTGAAGTATAAGACTTAAGGCAGTCTCAAATATATAAGAATCGATTATGAATACCGATTTGAAAAATATCTTTGTGAGAACCCAATGAGAAATGAAGAATTCGATATCGATTTTATTATTATTTCTCACTAGGAATTGTCTAAAAGGCACCATAAAGACATTTTAAGTTTACAGGCAATAAAACAAGGAGTAACAATGGATTTCGTCTTATTGTTAAGAAAAGTAACCGTCTATTATATAATAATACAACACAGTTGAGTGTAATTTTTCTGTCCTTCATTGCCTGCATTAATTAATACATTAGGCTTAAAACGTATTCTATTGTTATTATTTGTGATTTTTATTTCGCATTGTAATCCGATTTTAGGATTCTTTGGTTGAGCTGGGTCTGCTTATGTCGCTTGCACTTATTGCACTCAGGATTTTTCATTCATCTTTTTTCTAAGGGTCTCTTTCACCAAACCTCGGTCGGGCTAAACTATGTAACGACCGTTACATAGTTGGCAACTTGAGGACTATAAACTATAGACGCGTTTCGCTTTGTCAGACCTTGACTTCTTCTTTTCGTCCAGTATATATACAGAAATATAAGTTATAAAAGCACAGGTTGAGAACACTTGTTCCTTCTCTAACAATGAACAATGTTTAATCCTCAGGTTAGCAACCGTAAGGTTGGTGAAAGAGACCCTAAAGATTGCAAAAATTCTAAGGGATTTTAAACAATGCGAATACATTTTTTGTGTTATCATGGGATTGCTACTGCGTTGTCTAGATTCGTGTAACCAGCTCCATGAGTGTATTTGTATACGAGCGTTGTAGACACGAACGTAGAACGGTCATCCTTATCGAGAACGCCTGATTTATTTAATCGTTGGAAGCCTTAAGTAGCGGCTTATTAAAAGGATCTATAATGTACATACGTATAGTCGTAATCGCGGCACATACTTGTCCCTCCTTCCCCGCTCCTCCCCAGCCCCGCTGTTGCTTCCTCCCGCACGGTGCTAGTCTTTCGCTGCGAAACCGATAAATTATGCATTCCATTATTCATGCTCGCTCGCCGTAATCATGTACGGTGGTTGACAAGATCCTGTCATGCTTTACAGGCCTCCTGGCTTCGCGTTTGTTTGCTACTCCGAGAAGTAAGGAGGACCGTTTACGGCAGTGAGACTGCAAGCTATTCAATTTACCGGCTCTGAATACAACCGAGCTTTGAGGATATGGGAGTCCGAAGGATACGCGGAAGGAAAGAGAGAGAGAGAGAGAGCGAGAGAGAGAGAGAGGGGGGGGGGAGAGAGGTATGCTCGTCTAGTCGAGACTCCGCGTAAAATTCGAAAGGCCGAAGAAGAGATGCCGGAAAGCGATAAATTATTTATAAGCCACACTTGAGAGGCTATCGCACAAAGTTTCGCGCTTGTCCTGTTGCACGCGCGCGCATATTCAATGAACTTTGAAATGCTAGATATTAACGATGTAAAATGGAACGGAAAATTATCATGATGCCCGTGGCTGCGAGCTGTTAAATCGATGTAGCGCGCGCAACTATTTTTTAATTCAAACGATTCGAATGAAGTTTGCCGCTTATAACTTGTTAGAACCACAGCGTTTGAACGCAACAACAACCGGATACGTTCTCTATTTCTTTGATGGATGCGTGTTTGTCGATGTTTTAAAAATGATAACGACGTGTGTGTATTTATCTGATTATTATTCTTGAATGCGCGAGATAATTGGAAAAGAAATCGTAGAAGTTAAAAAATTATATGTAAAAATTTAAAAAGTTCGCTTTAAATTCAATACATTTTTTCAAAGTCCACAATTTTCGTGTTAATTTAACAGAAGATAAGTATATATTGATAGCAACACAAATATTATAAAAATTATCAACATAATTGTTGATTTTATCTTTTTTATTAATCTTAGAATTTGTTGTTAAATTATTTTCTTATATTTCGTGCCTTTATACGTAGAATTAATATACATATTTCAATAAACTATTCTATATGTAATTTCGTTAACTATAAAATAGTTTATTATTCAATTAGATATATATTATAATATTTACAAATAGAACTTGTATTGTAGTTATCATCTATACACTTTTACCATCTGCATCTTTTTCTTTAACAATAGGTGTAATTGGAAAAAGGGAGAGAGCAAACGGCTACAATTCAATGACGTGAAAAATCCTGTGCACGAACAAGTTTCTTCCTGTTTTGTTAAAGTCAGGTATGTATAACTAACGTTCGGCTTAGGTATGCGCGTGGGAGTGGAAATCAGGGGAATCCGGGAACATTAATACGTCGCCTAAAGGTTTTGAATCCGAAGTTCATGCTCTAGGCGAGAGATCTCTCTCGAGAGCGAGTAGGAAGTAAACGGGCGGCGCGCATTCGAATCGCTCGGTTCGGCCGCGTTCGTCGACACTCGGCAGACTTCGCGCGTCACGTGGGCTGCCCCCGCTAACTCCACTCGCTCCCTCTACTCAGCCAGTCCGGCTGCGCTACCGTGCAGTAGTGGGGACGCGAGCGGCAGCGCAATTGGCGATGAACCGTCGGAACGTTTGGATGAGCGCGTGGGTTCCGAGTCAAGGATTGAAAGCGTGTATGCCTCGGCTGCCGCGATCCGGTACGCGTACTCCCAAGAGCGAAAAACGACGTGAGCGCGACGACACGGTTCCCCAATCCGGACCACCGAAGTTCGTTACGAAGCGGAGCAAGTTTCCGAAAGTATCCCGCGTGTGTAAGTAAGCCGCGCGCGCGCGCGCGCGCACGACGTGCGGGCAACTTCACGCGGTAGGCGCGTGAACGGTGCGGTGCTTGCTGGACGATTCGAATTTTGTGCTACGTTCAAGTATCGAGGATCGATCCTGTCGCGCATCCTGAAATGTGTGTTGCGGCCGTGGCAACGTTCGTTACGCGCGATAGCGACGCGTTATTTCGTACTCCGTGGCAACGTTGACGGTAACGAGCGCGCCCCGTGCGCGCGCTCGCGTCCATCGCGATCGCGATCGAATAGGAGATCGACTGCGGGCGATAGAGAAGAACGGCTTAAAGAGGAATAAAACAAAGGACATTTATCTGAGTGACGCTATCAGTGTGTGCTCCGAATTTTGGGATTTTGTGCTACGTTGAACGGAGACTCCCGCGGAGTTTTCGGTGCCCTTCTTGCGTGATCATCGTCGACGGCAGCAACGGCCATGACCGCGGACAGCCTGTTCGAGACTACCAGCATCCCGGGGCATCTCGCTCCCACGCCCGAGAGACTGGAGAGACTTCTCTCGAAACAGACCCTCGAGGAGCTCTACGAGGTCGAGGAACAGCCTTTCGCACGGTAAGCCACGACTCGAAACACGCGGTTCCATCTCTCTCTCTCTCTCTTTCTCTCTACTTCCTTCGCCTCTCATATTCCCTCGATCGCGCTCCACTCTCTTTCTCTCTCCCCCCCCCCCCCCCATGTCTTCGGGTAACCTAACGAGGCTAGGCCGCTTCCGACCTACCGCGACTCCGGTGACCTCCCTAGGTCGAGCTCAACCTCTTCTATGCGCTCGATGTCTATCAATATTTACGCTGTCGATCGCCATAATGAATGCCGATAGAGAATGAACGTTTTGTTATCGTTGATATTCGATAGGCTATCCTACCTGTATATTGTGTTGCGAGCACACAAGTGTGACTTTCTGTCAAATTCCACGTAAGAAAGATAATTTAACGACATTTCTTTGCGATTTTATTACACTGAAAAAAGTCTGACAATAATTATTATCAGATGTCGAGTGTCACAATATCAAGTAAATGTTTGGTTAATATAAACAAAAGTAATTTAAATATTTTCTAAATATTTAGTAATTATTATCAAACGGTTGATTATAAGTTTTATTATATCTGTTAATATTTATACTAAAAATTAGAAAAGTAAAATATTACAAACATTTGATTGAAATTATTTCATTCAACATTTTGGCAGCAATTACAAGACTCTTTTTCAGTGAATATTTGGATACTCTTCTGTAGTTAACGAAGTAGTTTCTCAAAGAAGAAAGAAAACATTACGAAAAATTTAAAAGTCAATATTGACATAATTTTTCTACATTTCTTTTTGATAAATGCTTTTACGTGTAGAGACGTTACATGTAAGATCATGATATAGATAAAAGATAAGACAAAGGAAGAACATACATTCTCAAAATGATCTTTATAAAACATTTTATAATAATTTAACACAATTGAATTCGGACTGGGAAAAAAAACTCGATTAATATAGTTACAATAAATCATAATTATATACAAATGTTGTAGAAATGGAAAATTATAGATATCAGTGGAAAATAAAGTATTGACTTGAACATTCATATGAAAATCAGGACACAAGATATCTTAAAAATGTTTTAAAATACTTTATTTTGAACATAAATATTATCTAGATATGTTTTAAAATTTGGGTAAAAATTATCCCGACAGGATTAAAGTAACTTCATTTAATAAGGGGTATAGAAAGTCTATAGACGTGAAGTAGGAAGGCTGTGTGATAAAAAATATTTGTTACATAACTTAAAAAACGAAGTTTTCTAGAAAATGAGTTTGGATTTTTTAAATTGTTGAAATTTTATAATGTTAATTATGAAATACAATTTTAACATAATTACTGTGTAAAGGAATACAAATATCTACATATTTCGAATATATTTTCATTATTTTTTGTAAGCAAAAATGATAATTTTTCAATTCTGTCACTTGGCGACGGTGTGGAATTTTTGGGAAATTATTGATCAGAAATTCATGCAAAGTGAATTTTAGCAAAGTTTATAGAAAATACTCTGTTAACTTCATAATGACAAATTTTGTCCAATATAAATTATTTTGTTATCATTTTAGTAGATCGCTACTGCTTCTATTCAATATAATATTAATTTAACTAAAACAATGGAGTTAAACGATTTAACACAAAGAAATATATTCATTTAACTTCAAAGTTTATTATTTGCTAAGTTTATACATTAAAATGGACATTGTTAATTTTTAAACTAACCACAGAATCGGATTGATTTACATTTTACTATTACATGAAAGTTCAAAATAGCAATATATTATTTAACTCAACGAATTAGGATTATTATTTTTGATATCTTTTTTGATATCTAACATTATAGGTATGGCAATCTTCGATCGCATTCTCATCTTCGATTTGCTCTATTTTAGCGCAGCGAGAAGTAAGGTAAAAAACGAGGTCTCGCTATATAAAAGAAAAATACAGTTTACAAAAGATTCTTGTGCGTAAGGAGTTTCGTTTCTCACATTATATGAATTATCCGATCGAGTGCGCGAGAAAAGGGGACGCGATTTGATGCTATTGTACGAGAGCGTACAATCTATCATTAAAGGTGATAAATGCGTGCAAGGTAACGCGAGATGCGGGTAATTAGTATCTCGTGACACGCGCGTGTTTCAATGCGATTACTCGTGGATTTAATGGAAGCGCGAGAGCAAAAAATTTTTGAAATACATATATATATATATATCATATCGCGCACGTATATAGTGTATAACAAAAGAATATAATGATAAGGCATATCACGTCTCGAAGATAATTCGAATGGTATAAAGTACAGATTAACTTTAGCACGCAACAAATTATCAATTCAATTATCAGTATCATAAGATATCGTTAATGGCTTATTTACGCGCGATTTAAGTCTTGCACATCGCGAGGGGTTAATAGAATTCGATAATGTACGAACGATTATATTAACTTTTAACGCGATTAATCGCGAGGCAAAAAATTATGAGGGTTATCTCAAGAATATTAAATTAATTTATAAGATTTTCGCTTTACGGGAGACAGAGAGATGAGCGAGGTTTTATCGTCGCTAAATTTTACGCTGTATTTACGCCCGCATTTAATCGTCGTATTAAAGTCATCGCATAATCGCATTACGACACGTGCGTTATATATATATATAAAAAAAAAAAAAAGAAGCGCGTTTGTTATTCGCGCCTCTCCGGTTTACCTTTAACTAATTTTCTGCAGATTCCCTTGCATATGGGTTTACGTAATTACGTGTTAAATCACGCGCGTCGACGGAAACGCGCTCGTTATGGAACCATTTCACACGTGTCTACGATTTTTTAGTGATCTGCCGCGGGGAATACTAATGCAACCTTTTCTTGCTGTAGATCGTTACACGCAGCAAGAAAGTAACAGCTTTTAAACATATATATCGTTCTATTCTAAATATTCCCGCTGCGATATTTTACCATCGTTCGTGCTAAATTTCGTTCAATCTAGATAGGAATTATTTGACTGTATACAACCGTAGCAAGATATATGAAGCTTTTAACGTGCAAGACAAAATGAAGTGCGTATTTTATGAGATATCAGCAGAAGGAGAAAGAGAATGATGAACGAGAGTAATGCGAGAGAGAAAGAGAGAGAGAGAGAGAGAGAGAGAGAGAGAGAGAGAGAGAGAG